CCGATGCGCTCAGCATCGAAGGGCAGGAGTACCGCTACCCATGGATCCGAAGTTGGAGCAACACACCCTCGGTCCGTGGATGGACGTGTATGTGGACTTTACGGGCCCGTACACAGAGTCCGCTCGCTCTGAGGGGGCGATCGCAGAGCCTAAAACCCCGCCCAAGGGGAGCTGTGCCTGCCAAGGCGAAGCCCGCTGCAGCTGCTCCTAAGCCAGCGGTGCCTAAGCCTGCCCCAGCCGTCCCGCCGCAACCGGCGCCTCCTGTTCCGTTCACGCCCGACCAATGCTGGGAGTCGGCGGGCTATAGCCCGGAGGAGTGGTGCTCATTCCTCAATGAGGCTGCCCTTTTTAGAGGAGCACAATCGTGCCCTCGCAGAAGCCGCTGCCGCGGCCGTTGCCGCGAAGGCTGCGTCAAAGCAGCCATCGGCCGGTAGCGGGGGATCTGCAGGCGCAGATCCCAAGGGTTCGGCGAAGCCACGCTCGACGAATCCTTGGCGCCAGCAAGGTCGACAGGGCGCGGGGGCAAACGAGCCGAGTGGCTCGCAAAAAAGCAGGCCCAACGGGCCAATGCAGCTCCGGCAGCTGCCAGCGATCCCCCAGCGGATCCAGCTGGTGCTGCGCCTGCTGATCCTGGGCAGGCAGCTGCGCCTGTTGATCCAGTGCAGGCAGCCGCGCCTGCCGACGCAGTGCCGGCGCATGTTCCTGCTGCCAACCCCGCTGATGCCCCTGCCGAGCCCGTCGCGCTGGAGGAGGCTGCTCCTGCTGACGAGGAGCTTCCCGATGCCGGAGCCGACGCCGTGGCCAATGCCGCGAATGTCGTGCCCCAAGTTATGGCGGTGGCAGATGAGGGTGAAGCCCACGCAGGGCTTGAAGGAGCGGATGAGGAGCCTCCTGACGAGCTCGAAGAGTTCGAAGAGGAGGAGGATGAGGGCGAACCTACGGGCGATGCTCTCCCTCATGCCGAAGCGGAAGCTTCGCAGGCTGCTCCTGCTGCTCCTGCGCTTGATCCGGCTGCTGAGCTGGCAGCTCAGGCGCTTCGCATGTCCGGCATTGAGCCGGCACACCCCACGATCCCAAACGCTGCCGCTCTCAATGACGGTCTGCTTAGGGCGACCCAGAGAGCAGCCCGTGCAGCTGAGACGGGAAATGCAGCTGCGAGCGCGGAGGGCGCTCCCGGTGCCAATGCACCGACGGATGTCCCTTCCGAGACCGCGGACGAATACGCGCGTCTTGATGCTCGCGAAGCTGAACTCCTCGCTGAGGCCGAAGGGCATCCCCCGGCCGAAGCTGAGGAAGTTCCGCAGCCAGCTGCTGCGAGTGGCGCTGCTCCTGGTGCAGCTCCGACTGGGCCGCCCGCCAAAGCGCCTCCGCCACATTTGCGGGCGCTACGGCCGGCGAAGAGGCTCAGGAGGGTCGCGGCACCCGAGCGTCCTGCGACGAAGCAGGCGATGGCCCTGTTTCGGGGCCGCTCGTCGCCGGAGGCGCCACTGTCGCGACCGTTGTCGCGCTTTTAGACGCGTACCATATGGTGCGCCCCCACGCCCAAGAGGTAGTGGCGGTGGTCGCTGACGAAGTTGCCTTCGCGACTTCGTCAGCCATCCGTTTAGGAGCCGTGGCCATCGATCGCCACGTTCATCCTAGCGGCCACTGCTGCCGCCTTGGTGGGTGTGCGGTGGACTCTCTCCGCGAAGAGTCGTCTTTTCCAGTCCGGCTTTAACGCCGAGGGCAACGCAGCCGCAGCCGCTCTTCAATCCGCCGACGCCGCGCCGCCTCTCGCTGGTGTCGACACCTGGAGGCCGGATTCCCGAACTCCCCTAAGCCTCGTGAGAGTGGGATTGAGGTTAGGAGACTTAGAGAGGGATGAGCGGAGAGAGTGTACTGCGTATGTGCGGTCCTTTGTGGACCAAGCACAGGCCGAACGGAGATCTGTTCGAGTGTATGGGTTGAACGCAGCTGGTCGAGCTTTGTTGCACCAAGAGTGCGCATCTAGGCGCCTGAGCCACGTCACCAGTGGCGATAAGTCCTTTATGACCTTTTGGCACGAGGATTGGAGTCCGCGAAAGAGCTCCGAGGCCCCAGCTTCGAGAGAGTCGTTTAAGGACCAGATTATCCCCAGTCGAAGCGCCCCGGAATTGCCTGCTGCTGCTTTGCAGGCTCAAGAATCTCCTTCGGGAGCACTTTCCAATAAGAGCATGCGCTTTACAACCTCCGGCGGAGCTGAATTCGAATTGGCACTGCTTCGACGGGAGTGCGATAGTCTACGGAAAGCACTCGATGACTCTACTCGAAGGGAGCAAGGCCTGGCGGCCCAACTCCGAGCTCACCGGGTTCTCCAGGAACAGGCGGCTGACGGTCGTGTGACACCGTTGGCCATCCTAGATGCCGCGCCCCAGGCGCGAGGTGAGGAGGTGCATATCGCCCTCCACCCGGACTCTAGCTTTTTAGGTCCGTTGCTGCAACTGATCGGTGACGCCGCATGCGTCGAGATCTTGCTCACCGCGTTCACCTATGACGATCCGGAGCTTACGTCTGCCGCTACCGCAGCTAAGCTGCGAGGAGCCAACGTTCGATTGCTTATCGATTTGCAGAAGGCTCATGCGTGCAAGGAATCAGGCAAAATTTTGCAGCAGCTCTTGCAGGTCGAAGTTCGCACAACGTGCGGAAAATCCCTTTCGGAAGTCTATGGGGGTAGCTTTAGAGGTTTCAAGGGAGCCCTCCATGCCAAGACCGCTCTCGTCCGAAGCCGAGCTTCGGGAGGCGGCGAGGATGGGGTGACTTTGTTCGTAGGTTCCCATAACCTCACGAAGGCCTCCCGTGCTAATCGCGAGTTCGTGATGCTACATACCGGGCGTGGTATGAGAGCATGTGGAGCGGGTCCGAAGGGATTCAAGTAGAGGCTGGCGCCGCGCCACGCCGCCGCGTGCGAGGCAAAAACGCCCCGCCAAACGCGTCCGCCGCCGCTGACTGAGTGGTAGCACGGATCTTTTTAAAATCCGGGGCTGCTGAAAGGGGCACCCCGCCCTAGCGTGCAGTCGTAGTAGAGATCCGTGCAAGCGTTTGTGCT